CTACTTCCCATCGACGTGTCGACCTATCTAGACAGCCTCTTCTCGAGTTGACAGGTTTAACATGATGGCTTGATGACCTTGCTCCAGCTTCACAAGAGTTCACAGGTTTCGCCAGAGTGAGACTTGTAAACCGGAACTAAGGACGCAATGATAGTACAAAATGCCCCTCCCGTCGCCAAATTGCGCCCTATTCGTGCTTTCCTTATTGGCGCTCTCCCGGGTCGAGAAAGAGGGCGACACACTGTTGTGGTTGTCTCCGTCCATTCGGTCATCGTGGAATTTACTTTTAGGGTCGAAATTTAAAGGTTTTAAGGTTTAAGAAAACTGCTGGGAATCAGGAATTTCAAGGATTAACACAAATAAATTGTATTAGCATAGAGTTCCCCTTCATGCACAACTCCTATCCTGACCCCTCCCATAAAAACCTTGGAAATTTGCCACAATTTGGTCTGAATGTGTAGCCTTTCACCCTTTTTCCTTGCCAACAAGCAGGAAAGGAAATATTTCTGCCTCCGAGATAAGGGAACCACCCCAGGATTAACATTAAAGCTCCTGATTTGGAGTCATCGATGGATTGATTATTGATTGAATTGATGATTTTCCTGCAATTCTACCTACCTCCAACAAATCCGGTTATGAACAGCACCACAGCTTTCCATAAGCAAAAGTCGGGGATTTCCTTGAAAGTGGTGCGTCTTTTTTGGGAGTTCAGAATTGCCAGAGCGATAGCGAACGCTGTCCAAATTGCCACAAACATCATCTTTTTCTGTGGCCCAGTAAACAGGGGATCAACCTATAAAACGTACCATACTAGAGCCAACTAATCGATAATCGATTCCTCTAAGAACTCACGAAATGCACTCCGATTATGAAGCCAGGAATCGCACCGAGGGTGCCAAGTATCACAGCACGATTTTCGATCTTCACCTTCATGAATAGCACACACATAAGCGCCGATGTCATACCTGAAACACCGATCAATAATCGAATTTTGCTACTGTTTCGCGAATTCTTTCAATGGAAATCAATATATTGATCGCTCACCGCATGACTGGATCATGAGCGAGAAATCTCTGGCGATCGATGGTGCAATATGAAGGGCCAATGTCATGACGGGAAAAGCTACTGCACCACTCCCTTCCGACGTCATACCTATAAGGAAACTATATATCGCCACAAAATCTCCAAAAATCGATATATCGATTGCTCACCTCCAACGAAGGAGCCTAAGATCATAGTCACAGGCATATGCCAATAATCCGGATACCATTGGAAGAAGTTATGTCGGATGGCAACCATCCACCAGACGGTCTTCAATAGACTTATTGGTTTTGCATTGATGAAAATTATTGATTTTTGAGTCACCTGCATAAGGACGAAGGGAATGAGCATGGCAACGAATTTTCGGTATTTTATGAAGATTAGGTCCTCCCACGTAGGGTTTTCTGGTAGCTTTTGCAATTCCTCTGCGGCTTCTGCTTCCAAGTGCTGACCTGAATGCGGGAAAGTGTTCTTTTTGATAATCATTAATCGATTAATTGTCAGCTACCTTCTAAAAAGTACTTTCGGAACCATCGCTTTACTTTTTCACCGCGAGTAAGCGGTTCCTGCGGTACATAGGGCCGCTTTGAGAGGGCTCCTGAAATATTAGCGATAATTAATCAACAAAACCTTTGATACAGATGAAATGGAATTCAAAATTACAGTACCTGTAGCGCGATTCAATTCTATCGGTTGAACTGTGTTCATTCCCATTATGATTTACTGAAAGACGGCAAAATTATACATGAACATAAAGTACATACATCGAAGAGCCAAATGGCCAGCTGGTGCAACGAAAATGAAATGTGGGGATCGAGAACCTAAAACTTTGGTCGGAGGGCTCAAATCTAACCCATCCTCGTCCACTTCCAAGTCTTAGGGAGTCGTCTGGGCCGATTACACTTTTTTACCATACCCCAGAGCTACCGTACCCATTGGCCCAAAGGGGTTCTACATCGGACAACGGTAGCGTTCGAAACAGATGGAGGTTGATTAGGATGGACTATGCATTTCCAGGATTTATGAATTTATAACTATACCCGGAACAAAGTTGAGGGCCAATCAGCCCTCATATAGTGTTGACATTGACATCAGCGGATTAGGGATCTAGTTAATGACGAATTTGTTATTGTTATACCAGTAAGGGAGTGAATGCGTCACTCAGCGAAATTTACCCGTAGGAGAGGGAAAGAGATAAATATTGTATTAGGGTAAGGAAAGCCTTTAAAGGAAAAAAGTACAAACTGTCAAAATTTTCAGCCTTCGGGCAGGGGTGAGGGTATTTGAAGGACTCCTTGTGCAAAAGTGGAAGTATCATGGGGTCAGGGATTTCCTGCCCCAGCCCCTAGAGGGGATGGAGCTCCTGTCGAGAGGCGGAAGGAGCGATCGATTCCAGGTACGATAATTCTATTCGGTAGACGCTAACCCTAGTATTGTGCAAACAGTCCTTCCAATGCCCCTCCAAGGTTATTAACGCTTTATTACTGCTATGGTACCCTTATTTCGAATCTACCATCCGTCGATATTTCAAGTGACTATAGAGTAGAATGATGTCCAACGCTGTGGGAGGCTTTATGTACGATAATCGATCAGATAGGTACGATTATCGGTCGCAAGTTGGGCACGATTATTGCTCGAAACAGGGACACAGAATAAGATTGTGGTTTCTCTTCCTAGACGCTCTGAATTTTCGCACTGAATGATCCTATGAACGTTCAACTTCACACTAGCATAAGTATAGATAGAAGAGTTGTAAGCTTCTGCCCCCCCCCGCTACTCGTCCAGATATTTTACTTAATCTACTTCTAGGTTAAATATAGTATCATTTCACTATCACTACAATACTGTTGGATCATTGCCCAGAATGCCCAGGGGTAGAGAAAAGAGACTTGGAGGGCGTCAAAGATCAACAGTTTCAGAACAGACTTGTTCCCGAATAAGGCAATGAGAATGGATTCTGGGAGGATGCAGGCAACAGTGAATTTGGGGATGAAGAGAACAAGGGGTGGCAGTGTTTGGCGAAATGGTCGACCGTATACCAGATCAAAATGTTCAAAATTCACTCCATCTGTACCTAAGCTACTTAGAGTCCACATCGTGGGTACATAGGGCAAAGCTCACGTGGGTCCATTCGGCCTGAGTGCGCCCGTACGCACCCAGAACGGGACAAGGCGCTTCAATTTCAACGACTACAGTACAAAAGACAGATATGTTCTTGAACCATAGAAGGGTTCATTAAGGTTCAGTGCTGATGAGAAGCGTAATGGGGAGAGCGAAGTTGGTGGGGTTGGGGTGGGCGGAAATGCATCTCTTTTTATAGGCGTTCTATGTCTTGAAGTAATTCACGTGGGTTGCACCGCCTCAACGAATCGCTCTCGTGAGCGGCTACCAAACGGGTTTACCCGCTGTTGTCGCAACCGCTCTCATTGTTTTTTCATTATTTTTCTGCTTATGTTACAATGGACCATCGAGGGTACGGTAGAGGTGAAGCGGCTGTCTTTTTGCAGCCATGAACAAGATTGGTCATAAACCTATCGTCCATTGAAAGGCCACTAAAAAAGTATAAAGCTAAGGTAGGTAATACACAATTTAGTAGTGTTCGAGACAATTTGGTTTGGGGAGGGGGCACTTTGCAATTTCGCTACTTCCCATCTACGTGTTCATTGATTTACATTAGGTGACAGGCAGTTTCTTCTAACATTTGACTCCTCGTGGCTTTAAAATTTCACAAGTCACGACAGCCACTACTCGATGGCTTGACACGACAGTGGGAAGAAGCCAACGTGCAAAATGCCCCTCTCTCAAGCTAAACTGCGCTCCTAATTCCTTCGGCGAATCCACGATAGCAGTCGTAGGCTCACCTAATGCTTTCAAGTGCTGACCTGCCAGCCGGAACTAGCGCTAGGGAGCGGAGGATAGTAGCCGTCATCACAAACGGCACTATGTCTCGCTCTCAGGTTTTTTCGTTTTCAGAGCTATTCTCTGAGGGAGGTTAGGCCTGAATTCTGCTTGGGAGTAGTTTCTCCTCCCCCCGGCCTCCTTCCCCTCTCTGTGGTTATAAATGTTGCATGGTTGGCTGGGAAATGCTGGTACTCGCGCTACAGACGCCACTCGAAAATGTTTACGTTTGCAGTGGCTCCTAAGACGCAAGCGTCAGGAGTTTTCATGTCTACAGATGTGTCTTTCGTTTCCAGTGAACGAACCAACTGTTTGCGCCAACTGCGTTAGTGGTAGAACGTTCGGGAGTTCCTAGAAAAATCTACCGTCAGAGACAAACTTCAGGGGGAACTGGGACGAAATTTTGAAAGATGGGGCAGTGGAACGTAAATAACACCTTAAGGGTCCACTGCAATTTTGATAACCCCGTGAAAGAGAAGGACAGGTTGGGGAAAGGTTGGCTCTGGTGAAAGTTATCGATCCATCCAAAATTCAAAGGGCAAGAATCGAGGAGAAAAATGTGGCCTCAATCTTGAGAAATATGTATAAAAAATACTTTTCGTGAGATCTAACTGTCGGAATGCTAGCCCGAAAGCACCTGGAGAATCCCGAATAGAGTCCCCACCCCCTTTAACTTTGCTACTAGCCTCTTACCCATATTAATTGCCTTTTCTCACTCTTCCTGAGATTTCGGCGTCGAGCAGAATGGGTAGACAGCCTCTAACCAGGAACGATAATTTTGGGGAGGCGACGACTGGGGTGTGGAAGAAGTAGGAAGGGTGCGGGTGCGTGAAAGGGGGGGGGGGGAACCAACAACAAGAAGCTGCTTAGAATCAGGAAAATAAGGCAGCCTCTCTCCAGTGAGTAGAGTTCAGATGGTGAGCAGGTTCAAATCGCGGATGGGCAAAAAAATCTATCATCTGGTTACTGGAAATCTATTATGAGTCACGTGATGAATGGTAAGATTTATGTTTGCCTACTTGGAGCTAGCAAGAAGAGGAGGCAGAAATCATAACACTTCATTTACACTGGAGGTATTGTAGAATGGCGCCGAGATAACATTTTTGAGCGCTGTTCGGCTTTGAGGGGCACTTTGCTTTTTTGCTCTTTGTTCTGTTAGTTTATGGATAGCCACTTTTCTCTTTGGTGACCTGAAAACATTTGTGAAGCTG